ATGCCTCAATACAATCAAATATAATTCTACTGAAAATTTACACTACACATGCATTTGACTACATTATGTCTTAGCCTAAGAAATCATGAAAAGGGGCCAAAGTTTTGAACTCATCCTCATTATATGTGTTATAATCTGTTTGACATTGTACTCGAGTCAACAACACAAGTAACATAGCTTTGAATTAGCTGAAAGTCAGATAGCAGCTTCAGTTTTTAAATCCAAAAATGATCTTGAAGTTCCAACAAAAAAGCCCTGATTCCGTGAACTCCTCAAGAGTCATATTTTTAGACCCTTAAACCGAATTAGATTAACTCAATAGTGAACTTAAACTTTAAAAAAACGATTGACTTTGGACATGTCGTGTATGCAAGCGCCTCAAGCACAAATATGATTTGCTATAACGAAATGTGAAGAGAGAGATAAGTGATGATGACACTAGTTGCAACCGTTAAGCACATTATAACTCAAACCTTGGATACGATTTCCTTTTGGATATTTAATGTGTTATGTATGGTTAAATACTGTTAGATCATCACTTACAAGTTACAACTTTGTTCACGTATCTAATTGCACTTGTGTCTTCTGTTTGAAATAGCATTTACCGCACGTGAAAAGTCAAACAGGACTTTTTTTTAAATTTCATGGGTATTAATGAGTCACTTTAGTTAGTTTGGGGGCTAAAGCAAACCTTTGAACAGCTCGGGGTCAATCATGTTTTTTTACAAGTTCAATGTCATTTTGTGGGTAATTGGCGTAGAAAGACCCTCAAAGGCTAAATATTGCAAGTTTTTCCATGACTTAAGTCAGATTCAACTAATTGAGCCAATCCCAAGAAAGTGACAACTAAGAAAGAGTCTTCATCTTGAAAGCAATACGTAAAGCTTATAGTGCCAATCTTAACATATTGAACTTGTTATCAGGTTCTGGCTATATGAGCAAGAACCATAAGTCCATGATTGAGGGAAAAGGATTAGCAAACACAAACATTTCTAAAATCAAAAATGAACTTTTGTTTTTACTGATAAATCAATGCCAAAAAACCAAGATTCGATTGCATGTGCTATACAAGCATGTGAGATAATGTGTTTGAGGGCGGAAGAATAGAAATAAGTTGGGGCAAAAACCATTGGCCTGAGAGGTCAATGGTACAAGGGGGGAAAAGAGCCAAAGCTCTTTAAGTAAGTTTCTTACTTTCTTGCCATTGAAGACATGATATTGGAGCTAAATAAATAAACACCTTTTCTCTAACCATCCTAGCAGCATCTAAAAGCCACCCATTTTATCAATTTCTTTCATTGTGATTCATCAATTATCTTTTCAACTTGAAAAGAAAAAACCTACTCTTTCATGATATAGTTCTAAATTTTTGAGTTCCTATCTATAAATTGAGCTAAAAAATACCCACATGAGCAATCTAGGATCTCTGCATAAAATGATATTTTGCCTAGACATTAAAAAACACTGACAAACAATGAAGATTTCTTAAAATAATCAAAACTATTACCGGTATCAATTAAAACACAGTCACTTTAAGGTAATAGATAATTAGACATTCCAAATACTCTAAAATAAAAAGATGACGAACACATTTAAGAAAAGTATACAATATGGAGTACTCTGTATAAAATACAGTGGCAAAATTGGAACCCTAAATCCCGCAACGAAGTAAAAACTTATCTGAAACATGAAATTACGATCTGAAGGTGGTCTCTCATATACATGTTTCATAAAGATAGGGTTAACAGGAGATCAGTATAATCTCGAAATTGGGAATTCGACACTCTAAAATTCCATCAAAGATATAAAAAAAACATTTACTTCCTGTTGTGTTTCATATCTGTATATAATATGGAAGTTTAAGCGGCTACGACTGAAAATGGAGCGGAGAATAGAGGAATACCTTGAGCTTTTTTAATGGCGATTTCCCGTCGAAAAGGAAGAAGACAAGAGCCAAAATGGCAGCTTTGGTTTTGCGGACCGGTCCAGCTAAAAAATGTACTCAGTAATTTTAGGCCCTATTTTGTTTCTTATCCGATACTCCATTACTTTTTGGGGCCATTTATTAAAATTTTATTGATTATTATTATGATTTTTAAGATAATTCAAAAATTGAAAAGATCTAGTTATTCATTTGATTTTGATGTATCATAAAATTATCATATATGAATGGAGTCATACAGAGTGCGGAGTATAATTTTTGGTGTACATCAAATATATTGAAAGATAGTTTAAAGAATGCACTCGATTTATTTAAGTATAACTAGATTTTAGATCTATTTTCAAGTGAAATGAGCATAAAAGGGAAGGGATGATCCAACAAAAAGTGAGAAATAGGCCTACATGAAAGGAGGATTGGATGTAAGGACCAACTTCACTGGAATTCATGTCGTAGTTACAATTATATTAAAATATACTGATCTTCGTGATTGATTCTAAAATCGTGTCCCGTAATTAATTACATTAATTAAGAATTGCAATTAGCAATAATGAAGCTATATTATGGAATATAAGAGCACTGGTAATGGTCATGAAGCCCCGGGGCTTTAAACTTTCTCTCTCTGTCACGTCAGTTTTAACTTACACCCAAAATTCACTGGAAATGGTTTTGAAGCCCCGGGGCTTCAAACTAGGACTTCAAACCTTCATTTTTTACATTTTTAAATATACATCTTCTAAATTTAAATTTATAAATTTAAATTAATTTATTATTTTAATTAATCGCAATGACACTATTGCATAAAAAAATTAAATTCATTATAAAAAAAATCTTACATTCATAAAAAAAACATTTAAAAAAAATTACATTCATTAAAAAAAATTACATACAAAAAACAATAGTACAAAGAAATCACTAATTATTCGAACGACTAAAGATATGCTCAATCAAATCCGCCGTTAGTGCATTGTGAATCTCTCGGCTTCAGATTTCTTGGCGGTTGCGTCCTTTCTTTTCTTCGGTGATTTCTTCGTACATAGGCACCTCCTCGTCCGGGTTGTATTGACAAATCGCAGACCCGTTATCCTCTATGATCATATTATGAAGAATAATACATGCGTACATGATATTCCTCATTTTTGTCTGAGAATAACATTTCGAAGGACGATCTAGAATGTGCCATTTAGCCTTCAAGACCCCAAAGGCTCGTTCAATATCTTTTCTCGCTACCTCTTGAGCTTTTTTGTAGGTTTGGCGTTTAAGACCCATTGGTTCGGAGAGAGATTTGACAATCGTGGAATAATCCGGATATATTCCATCAGCCAAATAATATCCGCGCTTGTAAAGCGTTCCTCTAAGCTCAAAAGAGGAGTCCGGTGCGGTCTCATTAACCCAATCGTCAAAAACAGGCGATTGATCGAGAACGTTGATGTCGTTGTTCGAGCCCGTGACACCGAAAAAAGCATGCCAAATCCACAAGTCATTTGAAGCAACAGCTTCGAGCATGATGGTAGGCTTGGGATGATTTCCCCGGGAGAATTGACCGTGCCACGCAGTGGGACAATTTTTCCATTCCCAATGCGTGCAATCAATAGCTTTTGAAAATTTATAAACACAGGACCTGATGCTCCGAGCAGACATCTTTAAGTATTCGTCGAACATATCGGATGTCGTCGCGTACGCCAACTGACGGAGCGCGGCAGTGCACTTTTGGACGCTACTAAACCCGCGTCGGCCTCTCGCATCAAACCGTTGGTTGAACCAAGGAACCTCGCGTTCAACATCGGCGAGTATGCGTAAGAACAGAGGACGACTCATCCGAAAACGATTACTAAAATCCTTCGGTGTATAAACACACGGATTATTAAAGTAGTCGTTTAGAAGTGAATCGTGGGCGGCCGCTCGATCCCGGTTTAGACGTTGGCGTCGGGTCCGTCGTCGGGAGGATTCGGCTTCTTCTTGGCCATCTTCCCACCATTGAATACAATTCGTCGCGAAACAACGAAAAAATAAAGCTCTTCTTTCATCGTCGGAAGATGAACCCATTTTTAAATTATATTTTATAAATATTTATAATAAATAATAAATATTTTTGAGAGAATATATAGTACTTCGTAATAAAGAGAGATTTGTGAAGATGGAGAAGATGTGAGAGATTGGGAGGGGGGGTTTGAATTTATAAGAATTTTTTTTTTTGAAAAGGGGTGCAACGGCTATAAAGCCGTTGGGAGGGGGAGGGGAGTGGAATGACGCCGCGTCATTCCTTTGACGCAGGGGCGATCACGCCCAATCACGCCCGAAGGGGGGCAGTGTTTAATGCCGCCGGAGCGTTAAACGCCCCCTCACGCCGTGGGGCGTTGCTGGTATTACCAGTGCTCTAACTTCTCTTTCTCCAGAGAGAATATTACACTCTTGTTATTCAAACATAATACGAAGATCTATCTATTTTATATTACTATGAATTATTTTAAATCTTGATTAATACTTTGTATTTTTATCTATTGTTAATAGGAAAAATCTTCATCCACTTAAAGTCTATGATGAACTTTCATATAAACCATTTTTACAAAGTAAATAAACATTTTTATTTACTTTCTCTACCCAAAATCGAATTGTCCATTTTGACTTGGCACGCATATTTAAGAGTGCTAAAAATAAGATTGACTTTTGGAAAACACACTTGCATTGCTTCTATACTCTTACATGTGAACCTTATGAACCTTAGATCGATAATAGAATTTCTTTTATTCTAAATTCTTGATGAATTAAGTATCCTTCCCAAATTTTATATTTTGTGAAATTTTAGTAGATCTGTTATGATTGTTTTTTAAATAGTTAATTAAAAAATTATTGCACACACAAAATTAGGAGTTATGTGTGAATGCATATCTTGCCCACACCGGCCTAATTAACGAGAAAGGATAGTTGCACTCTAATTGTTGTTATTGACACCCCAAATTGTTCTATTTTATCTCACATGAATAGTATATTTTGAGGTGTCAATAGTAGAAAGTAAAGTATAAATATATTTCCCCTCATATGCTATAATAATTGTAGAAAGAATTAGAGTCTAGGATTATTTAAATCATTGAATAAATTACTTTTCCATTTGGTAAATTATCGAATTACATGTTGAATCGATAAATGTACAAAAATCCAAAAGGTCATTGGATCTTCCTTGTACCATTAATGTTTGTTCACACAAGATTGATATTAGTTTGACAATAATGACTAATAAGACCGCATACACCGTCGTCCAATAAGACATAATTTTTGAAGCTAGAAGCCTAGAATCGTCATTTCGACAATATCTGAGCTTCTAGTAAACAAAAGACAAGATCAAAATGACATATTCAATGCAACAATGCTTTGATGGTCAACCCGAAAAGGCCTTGGGAGACTGGAACTATACTGGGTTTTGTTTCAAGAACAATTTAATCAGCTATGAAGAAGACACAAAGATAAATGAGCTGAAGAACACAAGAAGCACATATTACCATCAAGAAGCATATAAAGTCAAAAACTCGTGCAAAGGAACGAATGCCAAGTCCCATAGTGCTTGACCATCAACATGCCCTTAAGAATACATGACCCTAAACCCTGCAATCATAATGATTTGCATTAGTATTCTGTGTGAACAAACAACAAAGGAAGTTGATTTAGTCACTGTAAGATAGAGTGCCTGTTTGGCTACAACTTCAGCATTTAGCTTTAGCGTTTTGAAAAGGTTGTTTATCTTTAGTGTTTTCAAAGTTAATATCACCATTAAAAAGCTATTCAAAATGCTAACGTTGTTCCCAAACCAGGCTATTGTGACCATATCATGAATGTGCAAGAGTTGTGATGCAATACAAGTCCATTGAAGTTTTGAGTGATCTCATGCATGCAATTGTGGACCCTACAAAGGCATTGAAAAATATTTCAGTACCTTTAAGTGGGAAATGAGAAATCAAAAAGCATTCCGGTGTGGTCAATCTTCATGCTCGGGATCATCCTCCCCCTCAGAATCTGCAAGAGGTAAAAAGTTAACATAAGTTTTGAAAATTCATGAACGAAGAAGCCAATCTATTCGTTTGTTTTTCCCCATCATTTGCCGTGTTCCAAACATAAAAATGGCATATCCTTCACAATGATGCTGGGCCGAGCCCAAGAGTCTTGGACGAGGATGCATATCACATGTTGTAGCTAAGGAATAAGGAAGGATCTATGAGAAGTTGTTTCTGTTAGAACCTAGATGCATTGCTGCATTTACTGCCCAAAATTTCACAGAAAGTTAAAAGGCAATGGAAGGTTGAAGTTCCATATTGATTCAGTCCATTGTGTGAGGTCACATATCCAATTCTTTAAAAGAAAATAAAGTAAGAAGTTTTTTAGAACATCGAGAAGAGGAAAGTAGGAAGTCTTTTGTGGGAGTATAAAAGAGACATGAAATGAACATACCGGAACGAACATCTTCACTGACTTTGCCTCTGTCTTGGATTTGTTTAACAAGCATTCTGTACATTAACACCCACCAATAGACATTAAGAACAAGCAAGCCAAATAGAAGAGTGTTGAAGATATAGTAATAAATCGGTCCGTCCACTTTATGATTCTCCTTGTTCAATGTCAAAAGAACTTCATAGCTGCAATTGGAAAACAAGAAGTAACATTATTCTTATCTATTCCTATACAAATTAAATACTACGAGTACTTCATAGAATTCAAGGAGTGTAAGTAGAAGATGTCCAATAAACTTATTTATACGTTTGCACTCTTTATTTTAACCGGACCATACCTAAGGGTCTGTTTGGGTGGAAGGTTTTGGAGGACAAAGCTTTGGAGTAATACTCTATATCTTGACATATATTTCAGGTTTTTTAAAAAGTTGAAGAAACAACATAATATTCCATATGTGATTGTATAACATTTTAACCACATTTTTTCGCTTGTATACACATTTTACTCATAAAGAAATAGGCCAAACATTCAAATCCCTCTTTCCCTCCAAAAATGTTCATCCAAACAGACCCTAAGATAATCCTCAAAGCACACTAGAAAAAGAGAATAAGAAGGAAATTAAATGGGTTTATAAAATTCTTTTTTTAAATGAAAAAAACCACTATTGAAAGTGAAAATTCCTCTAAGAGTACTCTCTAAGGTGCAAAGTGCTTAGTATAGGGGAAAAATCACCTTTGAATATGTGAAATCCATGAAAAAAAGAAATTTGAAAAAAAATGAATGCCAAAGAGCCAAACAAACTACCTTGTACTCCACAGAATCCAGAACGGATAGTATGTAATGCGAAGCAGAGTCCAAGACAAAACAAACAGAACAAATGCAACACTAGCAATAGTTTCAGCCCCACTGTATTTGGACATCTTTCCTATTTCAAGAAATACATCACTAGCATCGTGAAGAGCTAAAACCACTGAACCAACACGTGCAAACCTGCAAAAATAGTGAATTTAGCTGTAATTGTGAAAATTGCTTAGGCAGTCGATATTGATTGAGTTGTTGAAATTGCTAAACTTTGAAGGGAAAAAACTATTCAAAGCATATTTTATTGATTAATAAATCAAGAAAGATTTTGGTTCTTTTGATAGCAAGGTTGGGTGTCATATTGTGGCACCAGCCATTTGAGGCCCCTACGGTGCTCCGTTGGAGCCTAGAGTTGTTCCTATCCCCTCACCCACCCCACACCCACACCCACACACACACAACCCCCCCTATCCGCACCCTTTCCAGCCACCCAAATTTGTTGTTTTTCCAAAGTAACAACTTTGGGGTCCAACTAAGAATTGGGGAAGGTGCAGGGGGTTTTAGGGTGGATATGAACAGATTCAGAGTTCAACAAAGTATAGTAGGGGCTTGGTAAAGAACCTTGGGGATCAAGGAATATGCATATAAACGTGTACAATGATCATCTTCAGCAATATTAACCAAAAAAAGCACATCCAGTCCTATTTTTTCATTACTAACCAGTTTAAAACCCATAGTTAATATTGTTTGGTAATAAAATAGGGTGTTGATTAGCCAAAAAATAGGCTATCAAAAAGCCAATAATAAAATATGATTGTTGAGTAAGAGCATGTTGGGATCAAGTGCAAATATATTGTAAAATATTCATTAAAAAGCCAGAGGCTCACCTCCACAAGAAACACACCTGAATATATAGGATAGAACAATCAGTATGGCAGTTGCGACATGATGGATCATAGAAACGCCAAAGTCAGCTCGCCTTGTTTCCCAAAACATAAGTGCAAATATTGAATATGTGTAGAACCCACCAGCATACATGTAAAGTGCCTTCAATTTAGACCTAAATTGCAGATGAAAACCATTACTCACATCTAGGAAATGTAATCATTTTTCTATCACACAAGAAAATCAGGTTAACATAGATGGTCGAATTCTAATGCCCAACTTGTGGGCACCATTTAGGCCCTGTTCTTTTGGGTTGAAATTTCAGAGTTGGATGTTAGAAGAAACTGGAAGGGGTTGAAAGAAACTCGAAGGAGTTGGAAAAAACTAGGAGTTGGAAAATGTTGGAAGAATTTAAGTATTAAAAAGTCACTCAATTAAATGATCATCCAAATAAATATGTTAAGAAAATTTTAATTTTGAATAAAAAAGAACTCATCATTGTTCATGTTTGAGGTGAAATATTACAAAATTGAATATATAATGTTATTTTAAATTAGTCATATATAAATACTTTTTTAGGTCGTTGTTGGAAGAAACTAGGAGTTGGAATGAACTAGAAAGAGTTGGAAGAAGTTGAAAGTTAATTTTTCCAACCCAAAAGAACACGGTCTCAGTGGGGGCACTGACTTAAAGAATACACCTTCGCTTGGGCCCCTATGGGCCAAGTGATCACCCTAACAATCCCTTACTGAGGTATGAGGTTAGATGATTTAATGTCCGCCTATTTTTCACCAACTAATCGGCTTTAACAACAAAATGGCAAGCATTAACTTGAAAACTCTAAAGTCTAGCAAATTGTTCAAAAAATGCTTGAGTTGGAACAATTTAAGGATAGGTGACCAAGAAGCAATTTGTTCAAAATGTGCTGATCCTACAACCACATATCTACTTGCCCATCCCAGAAAAGTATTTAAAAGAAAATATCTTCCATAAAAGGATAAGCTCAAAATGGGAGGAGCTAAGGTACTTAATGTCAGTCATGCAAGACAATTTGCAGCACAGTTATTGGAATATATTTTTGTATATATTCTTGTACTGATTTGTTTTCCTTGTACAAGTATAGTTTGTTAGCTCCGATACCATGATAGAATTTTGGAATTGGATTGCTTGCTTTATGTTGATGCCTCAAACTGTATCTATACTACAAGAGTTATCAAAACTATCTAAGGAAATATACTTATACAAGGAAACCAAATAAATACAAAAATATAATCCAATTTCCTGTTTCTTTTATACAAGTTGGGCATTCATGATATTCATGCTCCAACTTGAGGCAGAGTGTTGGAATATATTTTTGTATATATTCTTGTACTTATTTGGTTTTCTTGTACAAGTATATTTCCTTAGATACTTTTGGTAACTCTTGTATTATATATACAGTTTGAGGCATCAATGTAAAGCAAGCAGCTCAATTCCAAAATTCTACAAAAGTGAACACAGTATACCAATGCCATATTTCTTCACACACGTCATAAAGTGCTCATATGTGTGCGTACTTTAAGGGCCTCTATGCGAAAAACTCAGTTTTGGAGTACAGGCACGGATATATTGCAACAAAAAACAAAGAACCAAATAAAAACCATTACTTGTATGTTTGATCGGGCCAGAACTGATCCCCGGGTCCAGCCCAGAAGTATTTTGTGTCCTTGAACCATGGCTCATTGTAAGTTACAGCAAGTGAAAATATTTCAGCTGAAAGATAATACACACACTTCCATGCTGATTCTTTGAATTTCCTCATCTTTTTCTTCCTTTTACCTGTCTCCTTCTCCATCACCCGCTGCCCCTCTGCAAACATCAACCTTCTGGCCACATTCTACCCACACACACATATTCAAATTGCAAGAATCCCCAAATAAGTGAGGGGCAAAACAAGAAAAAGGACACACTGGGAATCGCAAGGTGACACCAAGAAAAATCGAATCTTTCTGCAACTAAGATATCAAAGTGCTCTAGACAAATAAAATTCTAATACAATGAATTCTGCAGCAAAGCAATTGGTACCTCAAACACGAATCTGTTGAGCAAGAATCTGATAGTGGGAAAGAAGAGCGCGAACAATGGAAGAGCTGCGAAATCCTTGTAATTTGGGTACGATTCTTGCTCCCAATCTATCCTGCCAAGCTTTTCCAGCAAACCCATGTCTCAAAATTGGGGGGAAAAAATACAGAAGTAATAAAATAAAATCAAGAAGGTAAATATAATCTGTAATGGAGCATGAAGTTTCGTGGCTGTGAATCAGAAGTTTCGGAAAAGATTATGACAGGTGAATGAAGAGGTGGAAGGAGCTAGGGTCGTCAGATCATTGTTTTTAGAATCCAACACATGTGATTGTCTTAGATTACAAAATACGGAGTACTCTGCAAAAAAACTCTTGTGATTGTCAAAAGAAAGTGTTCACTCTTTTGTGCGGGTATTGACTTGATTGGGAAACTATTTTTAATTAATGTTTTCTTCCACTTATTCTTGTTATTTATTATGGGAGGGTTCGCATTACATTGTTCGGCAATGTCATAGATGACCCTAGGGTGCTTTGGTGCTCTATTTGTAAAATTAACGGTTTGATCTGAACACACTCACGCCCTTTTCAATTATACCCCACAATTTAATTTTGATTTTGAACTCAAAATTTGACTCCAAAGTCAAAAAATTATTTGTGGGATGTAATTGACGGGGGTAGGTGTGTGTTCGGGCCGGGGCAGGATGTGGGGGTTTACCGGGAGTTAAAGGAGTAGGAATCGTTAATTTTACGAACGGGAGATCGGAGTGCCCCCGGGTCATCCCATGACATGGGGTTCCAATGTCATGGGAACCCCACCTATTTATTATCTATGTTTCCGAGTATTTATCCAGTTTTGACTTTTTTTGTCAACCATTTTCAACTTTGACCTATAATGAAACTAAATTTATATTGTCTATTAATTAGATAAAAAATATTTGATATAATAAATCTAATAAAACTATTTTTGTATTAATATATAATATTTTTTATTTAATTTGAGGCCAACGTTTACTAATTTTGACCAAATAAATCAAAAGTGGACAAATACTTATATAGAGAAGTACTATTACTTTTTTGTATTGAAACTAAATCATAAAAAGCTTTAAATATAATTGATGAGTGTATTCCAGCCAGTACCGGTTTAAACGAGGGTTCTCAAATGCTTGACCGGTCAAATGATGAATTTCCGGAATGGGAAGCCTAAATGACAATGGTTTATATCGGTCAGTGACAGAAAGTTGACCGGTACACTTCAATTACTCTACTGGTCAAACTACGTGACTTCTCCTGATCATTCCCAATCTCCATAAATCCATCTCGCGTAAACTTAACCGGTATGAGTTCTATGGTTGGGAAGTGTCGGAATAAAAGAATTAGAGGGAGGTTGGACTGTAGCAGCCGAATTCAACGAAGAATCACTGGAGATATTCACGCAATCAGTCCAACACGCTATGCGACAAAGGGATTCACCTTCCTAGCTAGATGACAAAGAAATAAATGGATGGAACAAGCAACTAAAAGACAGAGGCAATCACCTCGTGCCACCCAGGAACGTGGCATGGCGTGGGTGTGCGGCGCCTTGTTCTCTTTAGCTTTACTATAAATACTATGTAACCTTCAAAGGAAGGTGTCCGAATTCTTCTCACTAAACCCTTGTGTAAAAGCTCCTGTACATTTTACTATATTCGAATAACAACTGCGTTGTAGGTATCGTCACCTATAGTTCTCCCAGTCGTGTTTATTACCTTTTACTTTCTCGAATCCAGTAAATAATCCTAGACTCGGTCTAACGCTAACGCTAATCGAAAATGTTGTTCTCAAACAAAACCTCTATTATTTCTTAAGTTAAAGAAAGAATACAACACCCTTTATATAATAGTAGGTTTTCCCTAATCCTAATTGAACTAGGTTATCTATCTTGTCGGTTCAAGAAAAAGCGACGAGATTAATAACAAAAAGAAATATTTAAAGGAGCTTATAATTCGCTTACCTAATAAAATCTAAGGTACAATAAATAAGAATAAGGAATAATTAAATATCATCTTCATAACATCTCAAAGGTCGAACGGTCCTCTTTGGGCGAACGCGCAGCGGAGCCGAGGGATCACATGGGTCGGCATTCTCGGGAACGCCCCCGTATCATAATTCCAATTTTTTTGAATAATAATAAGTTACTTTGCTTTTTTATTAGTCCATTTTAAAAAAAATACTCACTCTTTCTTAAACTAATATATAAACTAACAGGAAAATTAACACAATGACCAACCATGTACCAATAACGTGAATTAAAAAAATTATTCACAAAATTTTCAAAATTGAAGTACTAACTGTGCATGACACAATAACTTAATGTACCAGCTCTGGAATTTAGCCACTATATTACACATTCCCTCCATAAGTTTCTTTTGTAGTTATTGACAACTTTTACTTATTAGTGCATTCTCATTGCTAATTTAATAACAAAAAATATTCTTGTCATATCCTTTTTATATAAATTTTTATACACTTTTGAAATATATAATCTATCTACTATATATATATAAAAGCCCATGGAAAATCAGAGCAAAAATTTCATTCCAATTTTCCCGCCATTTTTTTCCAATCTAATGGCTGAAACAATTTTGGTACATATGGCACAAATCCATAACAATATGGCCCATCAGTTTATTACAATCACAAGAGGCCGAATAGAATGGAATCAATTGACCAGCAACTTTAAAATAATATTGCTGTACAAAACGTCTATAAAGATTTCCTCTTCTACAGAATTGCATCAAGTACCAGTTTCACTCTTCCACATAATGGCATGAAGGACCCGCCAATTTTCCACTTCATCCCCAGAAATTCAGTGTTCTTGAGTCTCAGATGTGGCCACCAAAAAAGCCACAAATTTTCATTCAATTTACACAAATACCACGAATTATAAATTGTGTATAATTTATACAAAAAAATAAAATTATTGTGAGGCTCAGAATAGTTTTCCCATTGCTACGGAGGAGGATAAGATCGTCATGGCTGCAACCACGGTGTCAAGAAAACATTTTGGGTAGCCTCGCCAAGATTAGATTCGTTTCATCAATCTTAGGGATCAGCTTGGAAAGTACACAAATATATCATCACTGAGAAGACGATCATTTTGTTTGAATGCCTAAAACATTAAAAGCCTAAAACATTTGACATCGTGGTTGCAGCCATGACAATCATATATTTTTGTTTAGCAATGGAAAACCATGCTGATACCAAAGATTTAATGAAATGATTCGCATCTTGGCGAGGCATCCCGGAAATTTGACATCGTGGTTGCAGCCATGGCAATCATATATTTTTGTTTAGCAATGGAAAACAATTCCGAGCCTCAACAATAATTCAAAAAAAAAATTCGGTAGAAATTATAAACTTTTTTTTAATTTGTGGTGTTTGTATAAATTGAAGTAGAATTTGTGATTTATATGGTGTCCATGTTCGAGCCTCTTGAACACTATCATGGCAGAGGCTTTATTTTAAAAATGTTGTCCAGCTATTACTGTAAAGTTGCTGGTACTTGATGGCATTCTGTTTGGCCTTTTGTGAGTGTATTAGAATCAGGGTAAATGTACCAAAGTTGTAATAGCCATTAGATTGTTACAAAATTGGCATGATAAGCACAAAGAATCACGTCATCAAATAACATATAAATTAAAAACAATTTATAACAGTTTTGACTAGCTTCTAAGCACAGAGAAACACCCACTATATACGAGAGTCTAGCCTACACTATTCCTCAATCAAGGATATAACATCCTTAAAATAAGAGCTATCACATTAATATAATCAACACTCATTTTTTGAACAATAAAAAAAACAGCTTCGGTCTTGCACCTTAGTATACAATCCGGGACATGCTTAAGAAATGATCCTCATTCCTCAATGATTAATGATGGATAATATCTGCAAATTGATAACTCAACTAGTGTTAATTAACTGTGGGTCTTCCTGCAAAACCAAACAAAAAAAAGTTTACAAGCAGTCAATTTGGAGCCATTTTTTCAATACCTTCTGAGTGAGTACATAAAATTCTTCCTTCTTCATGGCTTTTTCAAGTTCCTATTAGTTGAACATTTCTCAGAGAGTTAATACAGCCACAACAAACTCAATAAAATCTCACACGACAATAGCGCCCGAGGAGTAAGTATATGCAGAACTTACCCTTACGTGGAAGTAAAAAAAGGGAAGAACAGCTAAATAAATTAAACAACGCTGTATTTAGAACTTACATTCTCAGCCTCAGGGGAAGAATCTATATTGCATATAAGTTTCCGAAGCTCCTCGCTCCTTAATGCCTCACATATTTCACTCGATGAAGCTTATGAACGAAAGAGAAACACACAAAAAAATGATCGTTTAATTTACTTCGCGAACTCTTTTGGAATGAAGAGAAGGGTTGCAGGAGAAGACGTCCGTTGGATATGCATACCAATAGACTCAAGTTGTGACTGATTTAGCTCCTCCCTTGGCTTGTCGACATACATTGGTTTGCCAACATGCAATGGTGGTACGAAAGCTGTTATACATAAAATGTTTAATTTTATTGATAGGTTATAATTTCTACCCAACAAGCTTTTCTAAAAACTAATACAACAAGAAGAAGAAACACAGTAAAATCACACAAAAATAGGATATGGAGAGGGTGTGCGTACACAAACCTTACTCCTACTCGGAAGTAGTGCTGTTGTTTCCAAGACCCCCGACTCAAATAGGATGGTGTGTTTTTACACAAATAATTCCTATTTATAATATACTTTTTGACAAGAAATGTCGAAATAATAGGGATGTTTCACAAAAGTAACTCCTAAGCTATGTTTGGTTCATGGAATTCGGAAAGAAATGAAAAGAAAAAAAGGTTTCTCTCGTTTTCCTGACCAAAATGTAAGGAAAATTGTTTTCTTCATCTTACTTTACTTTCTATTCTCATTTTCTTTTTCTTCCAAATTTACTCATTTTCCCCTCTAACCAACAACAACAACCCACTTAGATCCCTCGGGAGTAGGGTCTATGCAGGGTGCATGTACGCAGACCATACCCCTACTCAAAAGTAGAGAGGTTGTTTCCAAAGAGACCCCTATCTCAAGCACCACATGTAATCACATACACAGTCTGACCCCTATGTTCAAAATGTAGATTAGTTGTATCCAAATGACCTGTGATGGGTGTCAAAGTCGCATTGACTAATTGTTACTTCACTATTAGAAGAAGTACAGATAATTTAAATGAGCAATTTTGCTCTATTCAAGCACACCCAAAGCCAGAAAATATTGAATCTTTGGCTCCATCGGAAATATTTTCTGCTCTAATCAAACAAGAAAAATTGTTTTGTATAAAGGCATTTGGCTTCTAAAATATTCTGAAGGCTAGTTTGGAACTCGGAAAATGCTACATAAAGAAAATAGAGAGGAGAATAAAAAGGACATTTGGTGTGAGTGAAAATTAAGCACTTGTTCAGCAACAATGAACCAAATATAATCTGAACTTTGATGGGGTCTCGGGGGTTAGGATATACGCAACTACACCCTCAAAAAAACAGTGAGCTTTTGTTTATGTAAAATAAGCAGAATAACCCAACAAATGCAATCCAAACACACCCAATACACACAGCAACATTGACATCCAAGAACAAAACCAAAAGCAGTAACTAAATCTATTGTAGCATTAATAAAAAAAGTCCTCTAAAAAAATCTAAAGTAAAGCTTACCCAAATTTCCTTCTGAAGAAGATATCGGCTTTTCACAAGGAATTTCTGCAAAACTGTAACTGATTAAATAGTATAAAAAGGTACTATAAATCAGCTAGATACCAGAGGAGTTTCTTTTCTTTTACTCTCTGACCAACAAAACAACTCAGTTAGATACCACAAGAGTAGGGTGTGGGGAGTGTGTCTAGTGTATACACAGACCTTACCTAGTTACCCCTACTCAAAAGTAGAGAGGCTATTTCTAAAGAGACGCCTGCCTAATCACGTACTCTCTGACCAACAAGACAACTCAGTTAGATACCTATGCATATACAATGCCAATCATGCCACTATTATCACATTGCAATCTCCTATTTTGGAAATAAAAACATGAAGCTCCTATTTTGATACTTTCTCTATGTTTAACTTCTATTTAGGGTGATTTCCTTTTGTTTTTTTGAAATTTGTTCAAATTTGTTTATGTAAAATAAGCAAAATAACCCCACAAATGCAAACCAAAAACACAGCAACATTGCAGCAATACATCCAAGAACACAACCAGAAGCAGTAACTAAATCGATTGTAGTATTAATTTAAAAAATTCCTCTAAAAATAAAAAAAATTCTAAAGCAAAGCTTACCCAAATTTCCTTCTGAAGAAGATATCGGCTTTTCACAAGGAATTTCTGCAAAACTGTAACTGATTAAATAGTATTAAAAATGTACTATAAATCAGAGGAAAAGTAGTTAAGGAAAGACATATTTAAGATCTCATGTGATAAAATCTTCCATTGATGATGAACCTTTGTGCTTCTTGAAACACGCCAACGAACAGCTGCAAGAATTGAAAAAAAAAGTGATTTTTATCATTTTTTTTCTCCAAAAAATATTTCTTGAAATACAAAAGAAATAAAATAAAGCTTACTAGGGCATGACACAGATTGGGCATTTGTATTTAAACTGAGCTTCTTCGCAAATTCCACACTTTCTCTGCCCCATCTCTCTTTCTTTCTTCTGATATTCTCGAGGTTGAAGAAACACTAATCAGAGCTTTAGATATTTGAGGTTTAATATGGGCTTTTGAGCTATTTTGGGCTTTATTGGGATATTTAGTTTGGGCTTTTTTACCGGGCCCATAAAAATCCTTTCTTTTGTCCCAAGAGAAGGCATTCCTATTCTACTCCCCAAACAAATTTTCGATCTGCTATTTGCTTTCCCAAACAGATCTCGTCTCTCTGCAATCTCTATCGTCTTCTCAAGAAGAGGAATCATGGGTCAAGGAACTCCCGGCGGCCTTTTTACAAGCCAATTTTGTAACAAACCAATGGCTATTACAACTTTGGTACATTTAACATGATTTTAATGCACTCACAAAAGACCAAACAGAATGCCATCAAATACCAGCAACTTTACAGTAATAGCTGGACAACATTTTTAAAAATAAAGCCTCTGCCATGATAGTGTTCAAGAGGCTGGGACATGGACACCATATAAATCACAAATTCTACTTCAATTTATACAAACACCACAAATTTAAAAAAAGTTTATAATTTCTACGCAAAATTTTTTAATTATTATTGAGGCTCGGAATTGTTTTTCATGTCGCACAACTGGGAATAAAATTGTGTTTTCCTTTTTATAATAATAATAATAATAATAATAATAATAATAATAATAATAATAATAATAATAATAATAATAATAACAATTATTCTTAAAGTCACTGTAATAAAAATAAAAAAAATTGAGGCGTTGATTCTAAAATAAAAGGAAAATTGAGAGTTCGTACCTAAAATCAAAGAAGTGAGTAGATGATGATGCTAAGGATTGAGGTGATGCGCTGAAGAATGTAAAAGATGAGGCGCTGAGCTGAAGCAGCAGACTCGCTCGTTGGTCGGTGGTCGGTGGTCGCTCGTCGCTGGATCCGGAAATCGCCGAGGAAGATGACGCTGGCCGCTGGGTCGGTTGGTCGCTGATCCGGAAAAAAAAAGTACTAGGCATTTAGCTTTAGGCCCTGGTAAATGGCATTTTGCTATTTGGCTTTTTTGACCATAAATGGCAGATTGAACAGGTCAAACTACCAAATTAATTGTTTGGATGTTAGCATTTGGAATTGGCATTTGGAACCCAACTGCCAAAAATTTAAACGCCACCCATAGGAGCGTTTCGTTCAGCAGTTCCGTTTCTTACCCTTCTTTTTTTTCGATTTTCTTAAGCCATCTGTTGCGTCTCTCTCTGCGATTTTCTTCACGGTTCGGAACTAGAAGTTTCTCTCTTTCTCTCTACGATTTCCCTCCTCAAGGCACCAGGTATGTATATTTTCATTATTTTTTACATCTAAATATTTGAAATTTTTACATCTTCAAGGCCATCTGCGATTAGGGTTTTTTTGTTGCGATTTTTTTTGCTGCTGCGATTTTGCTTCTCTATGATGTGAGACTGTTTTTTTATGCGATTCTACTTTTTTTTCTGTGAATCTGCTCCTCTTTGTTGCGTTCTGTTTTTATGGTGGACTGCTCTTGAATTTGCTGCGTTTTTTTCCTTCTCTTTGTTGCGTTTCTGTTCCCAAACTTCTCTTTGTTGCATTTCTGTTTTTTTTGCTTCTCCTTGTTCTACTTTTTGTTGTCTAGTTTTAGTTTTCAAATAAATCACAAAACAAATAACCTAGACCCAAATTGCTTTGAAATTGTATATGAATCAAACAAATGAAGTTATATGTATCAATCAATATACTTGTAAAATTTATCTAAACTTTTAACTTTAAATTTTATTTAGTGTTAGATTATGGCTCCTTGTCATAACGAAAGTATCCAAGGATCTCAAAGTGAGAATGAAAACACCAATGACAACAAAGGTGGAAGGATTATTTGGTCAAAAGAATCGGTTTACATCCTTTGTGATCTTGGAGCAGATTTTTTCATGTTTAACAATTTCAAGATGAAGGGATTGAACCTGACCTAGAAGTGAAATTGGAGCAGATTTTTTCATGTTCGACACAAGGAAATAATAAGTACACTCCAGGAAGTCACATTCAAGAGGATGAAAATGCCGAAAGTAGAGTTGGTGCAGGTGTTCATAATAATCTTGGTAGTGAGGGTGATGATATTTATATGCCTATGCCACCTCGTGGGATTTATGATGGTGACACTTTTTATGATGTTTGAAGATGTTGAAAACCAAGTTGCAAATAATGAGATGAGGATAAGAAGTCAGGAAATGAGAAAGATCCGTAATAATATCACTTCTAGTTTGATGGCGAAAAGATCTCATTAGTAAAAACTCGAGAGTTTGTCTGATTTTTTGTCACTTTTAATGCTCATGTCGTCTCAAAAAGTATTTGATACTTCAGATTGTGATGCTTGTCTCGCGTAATTTTTTATTTAATGTTTTTAATTTAAAGTTGGTGTAGAATATCTTTATATATTTATGTTATGATATTTAAAAAAACTATAAAATAAAATATACCATGCACGGTGGTTATTTGTAGAATGACAAATGAAATAAATACAAAAAAAGTCTACTCATAAAATTTAAATGTAAATTTTCATTTCTTAAATTATAAAAAAAATGAAGTAGCCTTTTTTGTCCAAAAAAAAAGATGTAGGGATGTCCAGAGTATTTGCTTGTATAATGTACGTATTTTATGAAAATTAAAGAAAAATTAAAAATTACATACAAATTAACATAAATGGAGGGATGTCCTTTTATGTAATTTTACTTACAAACAGCTAACTATAAACAGCTAAGGTTGCCAAACACTTAAAATTTAACAGCTAACAGAAACAGCCGGTCAAAACAGCTAACTCAATCAGCCATTCAAACCAGCTAACATAAACAGCCAACAGCCAACTGCCAAGATCCAAACAAGGCCTTAATGAATAAAGGAGTGTTTTGGCAACTTCTGAATATATAAGTGTTGAACTAGTAAGAGGTCTGAACCATTAAGTGCTGAACCAGTAAGAGGTCTGAACCATTAAGTGCTGAACAAGTAAGAGTTCCGAACCATTAAGAGCTAGTATTATATTGCTTAACTATTCAGAGGCAAATGTCTGATCAATTCAAATAAGATGTCTTAACCATTCAGACTCTGTATAATACTTAACCATTCAGAGGCAAATGTATGAACTATTCAGACATCAGAACCATTAAGAGGCTGAAACAAACAGTATGAACCATTAAGTGCTGAACCATTCAGACATCTGAACCATTAAGAGACTGAAACAAACAGCCCCTAAGTCTCAATAGTTGTCCATAATCAAAGAATCAAGATTTGGTTTTGGGCCATTTGGGCATAGTGGGCTTGGTAGAAATTAGAAAAGTAGGATTATATATGAAAATATCAATTACTCTAAACTACAGATTATTTTTTTTTAACTATGGATAATTTTTTTTAACTACGGATAATTTTTTATTACCTATATTCGGTATAACGGATCGAATAATCGGATATGCGAATATATAAACGGATGTATACACGGATCAGATTTTAAACGGATCGAATCCATAATTACCAGATCCGCATCCGTTTATCAAAATTTCGATTATCCATTTACAGCCCTACCAAGTTTGATGGAAAATAGTCAAATATGGACATATAGACAAATACTCAAGAAGAGGGAGTATATTTATTGGATTAATATTTACTAGGTCGGAAAAACATGGATAAATTATATGAACATAATTTACTCTCTCAAACTATAATTAAATTGCATTTGAACTATTCTCACAATTAAACTTCAATTACTTTCTTTTTTATTTGATTTTGCAATTGCAATTTGATTTAATAGTATAGTCATGTCTCCATTACTTTTGTAGATCTTTTAATCTAATTATAGAATATGTAATTTTTGAATTTTAATTCTACACCTTTTTTCATAAAAAATAATTTGAAATTAAATTGAGTGAAATGTTGAAACCCAAAAACGGTGATTTAAATTGTGACGGAATGAGTAATTTATTAATTGATTTTGAGTCTCTCTTTGTCCTAAATAAATAGGCTTCCTTTTTTATTTTTTTAAAGTTTCCAATATTATAATGAGTACAATTAAAATGTTTATTTTATATAAACCTCTATTATGCTTCAAAATGTAATTATTAATTGATTTTTAGAAATATATCCAAAAAAATTAAATGGATCCTAAAATTAGGACATAATGAGTAACAAATAAATATTTAAACTAATTTTATAGTCCAATACATGAATTTATTGCAAGGTGATAGTTCACTTAAAGTTGGTGTTAGTCGAATAAAACAAAATTTATATAGATGTAAATGTTTACATATAATCATTAATTGTTATTTTCCCATGCTATTTTTTTCATTAAATGCATTTTTCTAAATTCGAAATCGTAATTATAGGAAATTCATTATTTCCTAAATTTATTGTAAAGATGAATTAAATTATACTAATTCAAGATGTCTTCCCTAGAGCATAGACTACTCATTATTTTTAAAGAGAAAATGCTCACTACATTGCAAACCAAAATCTCATAAGATATGGATTTACCCAAGAGAGTGCAATAGATATGTTGATTTTCGACCCCTTGACCAAGTTGCATAAAACAGGTAAAGGCTACAATGGTAATCAACATATCCTTTTGTTATTATAAATTCTTAAGACATCAATAAATTCTAAATATATGTAATCTTTGAAGACCAATATTAATTTATGCTTCATATGTTTATAATAGATTTCTCAAGGACAGAAAAAGTCTAAAAAGAATTTGTACATCAAGTCAAGACACAGTAACAAATTCTGATTGTTCTCCTTTAAGTGATGTAACAAATGGATACTCACGTATCATTTAAATTTATTGCTTATTATAGCTTATTTGGAGCATTTTTTGAGAAATTATCTATCATTAATGTTTAAAATGTTATTTTGGTTGTAGTTCAAGCTCGTAAAACAAAGCCCGTATTCCCATTGAGACCAGCTCTACTCCCTCAACATCTCGATTGTACTTCGTTCACATGACATAACACACAATAAAGTCGAGCATACTACTAATGTTGTATTTAAGGAAGTGTTCCAAAATATTTGAAACATGTTGTAATAGTCAATTTTTTAAAATATACATGTGTCATTTGTGATGTTTTTATAATATGTAATCCGTTTTCTAATTATCAATAATTCATTATGTAGAAATATTATCTTTGTCTTTGAAATTTCCTAAATTATATAGAAGAAAATTTTTTCATTATAAATTACACTACTAATTGAATTTAATAAATGACAAATATAATAACAAAATTCTCCCCGTGCAATGCAGGGGTACGAATCTCTGTTTAAGGATTAAAAATAATGATATGTAATTCTGATAATACTCCATGTAACACTACAGCTAATGTAGTTTACAAGGAGGTTTTTGAGAATGTATGATTGATGTTAAACATACGTTGTTTACTTTACTGCATTTGAATAGTAGGTATTAAATATAATCTACTTTAGATCACATTCTTTATGTTAGTAGTTTTATTTAGAATTAAATAAATAATAATATATGTAAGCAGATGGACAAATCTGCTCTACCTATTTATTAAATAATATTTAATATCAACTATTCTCATATCTTTTTGAACTTGTGATAAGCCTATCTCTCCTTGCATCGCACGGGTGATGCACTAGTTTATACTTTATATTCATATGCTGAATTGTAAATAAAATTTTAAAAGATATGAAATCTTACCCATTACTCAAAATATGAAAGAAATTAATAGATGGAGGAATGTATAATTGTGACTTTTTTTATGAATTGTGTTCTACGGAGTATAATTTAATTAAAAATATCATATCATAATAAATGATTAAAAATAATATATTTTTAAATTTAAACCACAAATCATCGAGGAAACATAAACTTAAATTTGTAGTCTAGAATCTAGATATATGTCATTCTTTTAGAGTTTAGAGTCTAAAATTTATATATAAACGAAAGAAAAACAAATTTTAAACTATAAATACATAAATATCGAGATTATATTTTTTAATTCTCTATTTGTACTATTATATTCTCTCTTATAAAATAATTAGTATCATATTTTAAATTGGAATCTTAGTACGTCAAGAATTTTATTTTATTGCACTATGATTTTTTTAATGTAAATGTGTTAGACGTCTTGCACACCTCTAGAGGGAGAGGGGGTGAATGTGTTCTAAAGAAAGTATTATGCCTACGAGAACTAAAGAACTAAAGAAAGAATAAAGTAAAAGGAATGAATAAAAGGAGACAACCATATAACCTGGTTCGGTCTAATGCCTACGTCCAGTCCCCAAGGCGAACGTGCTTGAGATTCCACTATCTTTGTTAAACTTAACGGAGTTTAACAATCCGAATACAACTCATCAAGAACTTGATTTCACAAGCTTCTAACCTTTCCACCAAAGTAATGCTTGAGATTCTCTATGTTTTAGTCTTATTTAGAGTGATTTCTATTACTTGAACAATGACTAGTGCACAATGAGCAGAGATGCTACATTAGAAAATAAAAATATATAATATTATTTTGAGAAATTTACTATGTTTTAGTACTATTTAGTTAAAATCTCCAAACTTTTAGTAAGGCAAAAACTTATGGATTTTAGTACAACTTTAATTACGGATATATTTTTCCTCAAAAAAAAATTACCGATATATGTTTAGAAATGCTTAAAATTATGTAATTAAGGCATCAAACTATGAAAGAGCCACGACATAATTTTTTCTCATTAAAGTCATAAAATGAATAATTGTAACTAATTAAAATGTAATGGCAAAAAGTATTTACAATCTCATACTCCATAAATTATGTGGCATGTTAATGTGTTAAAAAATGACTCAAATATTATAGTAGATGATTGTGTACAAACTATAAATGTTAAAAAGTATTTTCTTTCATTGGAATTATGTAATCTGTAAATGTGCACAAACTAAGTGTGTACTCGGTAACTCGTTATGGCTCTCTTACACCTTTATTGGAGTATTTTTTTTAATACTTTAGTGATTTACTTATTATCTCTGAAATAAAAGTTACTCCGTATCTAGTACGGAGTACTTTTGTCCTTTCTAAATCATTCTTTTACATGAGTAGATAAAAATTATAAATATGTGAAACTAATACTTTCTAATAAAAAATTAAGATTATTAGGCTCAGATCATTTTTATTGTATATTACGGAAAACATATATTGAATTTTCATATAAATTTATATGAAAACATATATTGAATTTTCATATAAATTTATTAGCAATAGATTTATTTTGAAACATAGTTTTGAAATATATAATTTTCATAAAATATATTTATATAGAAATTGAGAAATTGATGGTCAAAGTGTCGCATTGGAGACCGTGAAAAATCAAATGAGAAGTTAATTTTAGGACGGAGGTAGTAATTTTTTAAAAAGTAAAAAAGTAAAAAAGTAAGAGTGGTGTAAGCCACACAAATAAAACTATGATTTAGGCAAAAGTATATACTAAGATAAAAGGCGAAAAATTGATAGTATAAATTATTTAAATAAAATACGTAATTCATTTAATATAATAAATATTTCAACAAATTTCATTTTTTCCAACTTCTTTCAATTTTTTCAACTTCCTCCAATTGTTTCAAACTTCTTCCCATTTCTTCCTAACTCTTTTCAATTTTTTTCGACTTCTTTCTGTTTCTTCCAACTCCTTCGAATTTTCCAACTTTTTCGAGTTTCGTCCAACATCCAATTTTGTTTTTACAACTCAAACTAATTAATAAAGCATTAGGCTCCCGTTCGTTCAACTTATTTTTTTTGATCTGATCCTATTTTTGGTAGTTCCAATCTGATCTGGTCTGATATGATTGGATATGATCTGATCTGGTTGGATCCGATCTGATCTAATTGGATCCGATCTTATCTAATTTGATCTGATCTGATCGGGTCTGATCTGATCTGATTAATTATGATTTGATTCAAAATTCAAATCAATAATTTCATTTGACTTTATAATTACTTTTGAAAATTGTAATGATAATTCATATTATAATATAATGAATATTTTTTATTTTATGATTATCTTTTATAATGAAATAAAATCAGTTAATTCAAATATTAGAATAATCATTCGTATTATAATGTAATAACATTTTTTATTTTATGATTATTTTTTTATGAAATAAGAATATTGATTTAATATTTTAATAATTAGTTCATATATACATTAGAATAAATATTTAATTCCTACATACATTAAAAAGTAATTAAATTTAGATAATCAATATATAGAATAGATAGTATTTTTATTAAAATATCTCATCCTTATAAAATATCAGCGTGTGCTTTGTATTACGAAATTTTTTTATAATTAATATATTACCATATATATAATAGTTATTTCAGTTACACTAAATTATACTATGTATATGAATATCAAATATTAATTTTATTTAGATCATGATCAAAGTTGATCAACTCGATGTAGGAAAAGATCAAAACATTAGAAACTCAAATTACATGTAGCAATACCTGTGTATTTTAAAAGTAGAATTAGATTGACATTGTCAATATATTTTAAAAATAATTTTTCCGACGTCTAATGATTAAGGACTATTTTCTTAGTTTTCTATTTAACTTGTTTCTAAAGTTTATTCTTTTTCACTTTTTAAGAATAATAATAATAATAATAATAATAATAATAATTCTTGATTGAATTTGATCTGGTCTGAGTGGAATGAGGCCTTAATTGGGTTATTTTTTCTTTTTAAATGTACCGGCCGGTTTAGTTGTTTTTTGGTGCCTTACTTAAACTTTTCTTTTGCAACAGAGTTATTAGTGATAAAATTAAATAGCAATAAAAAGTATAATGATGAAAATAGTTATTATTATAATTATAAAAATTAATAATGGTAATAATAATTATATGGGTAAATTATCTCAAATAATCTTACTTTTTTGCATTCTTTCAAAAATAATCTCATTTTTCACTATTACCAGAAATAATCCCACATTTTCGCATATGTGTGAGTTTTCGGTCCTCGTTAAAAAGTAAATTTGCCTCAAACAATTGTGAAAAACAGACATTTTCCAAAAATTTCGTTAAATGACCATTAGCTTTTTAACGGCAGCTTGCAACTCGCACACATGTGGAAATTAAAGGTGAGATTATTTCTGGCGATAGTGAAAAGTGGAATTATTTTTAAAAAAACGTGAAAAAGTGGGATTATTTAAAATAATTTTTCCTAATTATAATAATAATAGTAATAAAAAAAAGAAGAAGAAGAGAAACTTTAATTAGGGAACCTTAGTAGTGAGGTTGTGCCAAATAACATGGCATAACAGCCATGCCCAGCCTGGTTTAATTATTCTACTCATCTTGTGTAGTGTTGCGTCATGTTTGGCACCAGATATTAGTTAGGAGAATATATCTATATATCCAGCTGTTTCATCATCAATGATTTAGAGGCTACACAATTTTAAATCCCAAAAAAAAATCACCCTTCAAAAATAAAATATTCATGTTCATGACATTTTTTTAACATACTAAAGTGTTGATTGAACCAAATGGCAAATTAGTTTAGGAAAACTCATTTTTTTTTAAAAAAAATGCCATTGTTAATCATTGAGGGACAGTATATAATCATATATGACCAAAAAGGGCTTTAGCAGAATTGAGGCTGGCTGTTCTTGTCTGGGATGTTTCCTAGCTAGCCAGCCACTGTTGGAGGGCATTTTAAGGACTTAACAAATGCTAATGATGATTTGTCACAAAGGCTTCCACATGAAACTATATAAGTTGATGGACAAAGAATTAAGAATCCACATGTATAATAATGGAAGCAATGCATCCACATCATCATTCATTACACATCATATGCCCAAATTGCCACAAGTTTGATTTTTATTGGTCTAATATTCCGCGTCACATGTTGTGCACTTTTGGTACACATTGACATTCTTATACTCGTACGAAAAAATTTTAAAAAAAAATCAAATAAAAGCACTTATAATAATATTAAGAAAATGTTTATCAATCACGTAAAAAAGTCTGCTTATCATGAAAGAATGATCGCTTTCATAATTAAACTAATAACATACTCTGTAGCAAGTAATTTGTTTATATAGAAGAAGAATAATTGAAACTTCCAAAGTAATATCACCAGATGGGCCCCATGAAAAATCAAAGAAGTTAAAGATATATATATATGCAATCAACACAAAAGAATTTGGCATTATGGCCACAACATATACACACATATATAGCAACATATATACCTGGCAACTAACCTCTCTTGTCTATCCTTAACAGATAATAAACCAAAGGGCAGAAGTGTAATTATTCTTCTTCAGGTGTAACTATACATCTTAAGTGTACAGTTTTCCCAAAAACAATGAAAATTCAATGCAGACTTACTCAGTCTGAGGTAATATTTTTTTGTCTTGTTTCAATGCTAAAGTTTGTTGTTTTTTTACCCAAATATTGCATGTCCAATTTACCATGAATATTAACTGCACACAAAAACCCATCCAGCATATAATTAAACACTACTGAGATGCATGCATTTATGTTCAGATTGTAATAACAAATCTACCACAACCACTTTCTGCAATAAGTGTAAATGTTTCTCTAGTTACTTTATAGTGATCATCTGATGAGAAACTCAATATATAGTGCAAAATCTATGCTTTTTTACCACTAAAGACCACATGGATTCTTTATGATGACAGTGACTGCAAAAAAAAAGATGGCTTTTATGACTCTTTTATCCCCTTTAAACTCAATAAAACCAGATGCAGAACCACAACTTGGAAATATAATCTTCTGTTTTAGACTCCGAAAGCAAAGCAGACAATATCATACTAATATAATGTGGGTTTTTCCAACCATTTATTCTTTACTTCTTTCCAAAAGTGGAGTGGGGCTGTCTAAAGCAGCTGAGAATTTATGAGGCAGGCAGAAACAGCAAAGAATGCTAAGGACCAGTTTGGTTAAAGAAAAAGTGGTAATGGTGGCTTTAGAAAACAACTTTAACTCATGGGTGTCAAAAAATGCTTCCAAACCACCCCACTTCAGGTCATTGTTAAGCCATTTGGTATTATCTCTTAGAAAATTCTGAACCGCAAAAGAAAAAAAGAGTTTTCTTTTGTCGCGGATAAAAAGTAACCCGGAGTATATTTTAGTTTTTACATTCAAATAAACACTTCATAAACAATAATACTAAATGTACCTTATTTCATGTACAACAAGGCAGCCACCAATCAATCATGTATAAGACTATAAGAGAGAGTTTTGGTGCTGTTGTAGTAAGGATGGTTGTAATGGTAGGTTTCTTTGTGTCCGTTTAAACCGATAAAGCTATATTCATCCTTTACAAAGCTATATTCCCTTCCTAATATAAAAAGGAAAAGGAGAGAAGGATACATTTATTTTGGGTCATAGAAATAAATGTATCGTTCTCTCCTTTTCATTGTGGGACGTAAGGAGTATATAAGGAAGTAAAGAGGGAATTTATGGTTCTCCAACAGAACAATGTTTTATATGAAGCATGACTCTGTTTCATGCATGAGAGTTCTCTGGAAATTCTTTATCAACAACTAATCTTACTTCAAGAATATTGGTATAATCAAAGGGTATATGTATTTATATCCTCTGAGTTCTTGTAGAAAGTGATGGATCATTCTGGTTTCTATGGAGGAGCAGAAGAGTATTGTGGCAGCAATGAATCTGGCTGGACAATGTATATTGCTTCTCCCAGCCATGATCAATATGATGATGATGATGGCTATGATGATTATGACCATCATCATCATCATGACACTGCAGTGAGGAGGGTAAGAAGTGTTATGAATTGTGATGAAGAGGGAAATGATCAGAATGGTGAGAGTGATGACTCCATGGCTTCAGACGCGTCATCGGGTCCCGTTCATCAACAAGACTGTGATGAAAGCTTGGAGAGAATCCATGGAAGGGAGAAACTGGGAAAGTCTGGGGCTGAGAAAGAAACTGTCAAGAAACATGAAAAGGAAGAAGAAGAAGAAGAAGAAGAAGGAATTGAGTTAACAAGTAAGAAGAACAGCAGAGTGGGAAGAGGGGAAGAAGATGCACAGAGGGCAGCTGCAAAGAATAGTTCTTATGGCCAAAACAGATCATTTCTAAGAAGGAAACAAGTGAATAATTAAAGGTCATCTAAAATCAAGAAAAGCAAGAACATGGGTGAAGTTCATCAGAAAAAAAAGGGCATGTTTTGGTTAATACACCATGTGAAAAGGTCTCATTTTTTTGTGCTTGTGTGATCATATCACCATTTTTTGTGTGCAGCATATGGAATTTTCATTTTATTAAATTTATTTGTTTTTTTGATTGGGGTGGTGTTAGATATAATTAATACTACACATTGGATATAATTATTATTATATGAGATTATACTTTATTTATGACTTATCTCTTGTCAATTTGTCAAAAAGCCTCATCATGTTTCTCTCATCATTGCTCTTCTTCAGAGCCATTTTTTTTTACAATTTTTATGGCCAAACGGTAACAAAGTAATCTCTGAATCTCTAATCACTCATTACCCTGTTGACTTCTCATTGCAAGGATCATGGATAGCAATATATATATATATATATATATATATATATATATATATATATATATAGTTATGAGATTTAACATCCATCACTTTCCTAGAAGTTGAAATGTGGGATGAGAAAGGAAAAATCTATGAGTAGTAAGTGATCAACTATGGACAGTGGCCTTTGAAACCTACATTTAACCTACTAGCCGCTGAATAGTAGATCTTTTTTTTAAGTGCTACTATTAAAGAGTGGGTCTAATCAGTCTTTGAATAATTCTATCTTTACTTCTAATCTTTTTGTCTAATCGTTTTTTAAATTTCATATACGCCATTTTTTTTTTAATTTCTTTCAATTCTCTTAACTCTTCTCGTTTTCAACATTCTTTTTCAAATTTCAAACACTACGTAAAAAGAAATGATGAAAAATGTAAGGTTTTTTTTCTAAACATCTAAAAAAGAGAGTAGTTTTTTTAGAAGTTGGAGTGAGTTCAACTTACCAGGATAAACTCATTCCCAAAGACCCTCTTATAACTTTTTTTATGATCTTAGCAAATTAACGTAGGGGTAGAAGTACTTAGTACTCGCAAGAGCTCTATGCTTTGAATGATTTACCCTAATCATCATGTGCACCAGATTTTGAACTTTCGATAGTACCTTTCTGTTAATAGTTGAGATTAACCATGTTAGAAGTATGCCAAAAAATGTATCTCAAGTTGTAGTCCAAAGAGATGCACTGACATTTTAACGTTTTACATTGATACAAAATGATACTCCCTCCGTCCCCCTAAGATCTTCTCGTTTTGACTTTTTGCGGTTTTTTAGGAGAGTTGAAAAAAGGTGAAAGTTTACCATAATACCCTTAACGAAAATGGGTGGAGTGTATTAAATGAGGTAGGTGAGATGTAATAAATAAAGTAAGTGGAGGTAGTTGTGATATTTTAAGTGTTAAAAAAGGTAATAAGAAGATCTATGGTTGATGGGTGTATTTCACCCATGACCGGTCAAAGGTCAGACCCACATAAGTTGACCGGTCAAGAAGGTCAAACTTTGGAGGGAGGTGAATCGCTCATGGAAAGGTAAAAAGTTGACCAAAAGATTGACCGGTATACTTCGAATAGTGTACCGGTCCAACTATGCCAAGGTCTAATTCATCGTTCGAAGTTAGCAGATCCAACCCTCAAGAATCAACCGGTGCAGATTTTATTTATTGGGAAGTGTCGGCAGGAAGAGTCCAAAAGGACTTGGACTGTAGCGGTTGGCATTGCTGGGGACTCAGTGGAGATGCTGGATGAATATTTCCAAGCCAGAACGCGACAAGGGGGGTAATCCCCCTCGCAAGATGACAAGGCGGCTCAGGGACAGTCATCTCGCACCACATCAGCAGCATGCCCCCACGTGGGCGCACGTGGTCTTGTCCCCCATAGCCTAGTATAAATACTCATGTAAACCTCAGAAAGGAGGAGGCGAATTGATTCTCTCTAAACTCCCTTGTAAAAGCACCCGGGCATTCTCCGTTATAAGATAAATCATTTACAGGTGTTCCACCTAAAGTCCTACCGGTCAATCTACGAGTTTTTACCTTTCTCACTTTGCCAAATCAAGCAAACTATTCTAGACCCGGTCTAGTATAGTTTGACCGGTCAAGTAATTTACACCATCATTTTTGGCGCCACCCGTGGGACCGTTAAGGTTTCTTCTCCTAAACACAAACCTAGCCACCGAAACACCACTCGAAATGTCTTCCAGCCAACAAATCAACGCTACTTCCGCTCAGGTGCAGGCCACCAATGAGGGCACCAGCATCCATGTGGCTGCTACCATACCGGTCATTTCAGCCCCGGTGTTGCCTTTAGGTCTGAGCTCTATCCCGACGGCCAGCGTGATCAGTCCCTTCGCGACCCCCGTCCCTTCCGCTGGACCAAGGGTTACGTTCCCACCAAGCATGGCTCAGTTCATGAATGACCCAGCCAACCTACAAGCCATCCAGGGCTTTGGCCAGGTCATGGCCATGTGCCAGCAGAATGGGGGGATGCCTTTTCTCCCTGGTATGTTTCCGTTCGCTCTTCCAGGCGCAGGAACCATGCCCTTACAAGCTCCAATGGCGGTGGCGTCGTTCCGGACGCCGGTGCCGCAGCCATCTCCTTTCCAGCCCCAGCTGGTCAGCGCCATGGCCCCTGTCAACTTGGCCGGCGCACTAAACGCTGCAGGGCTGTCGCGTCCCCCGCAAGCTACGAATCCGCAGATCACTCCTGATGGTCATTGCGTCTCGATTGAGAGCGATGACGGCGAGTGGGACATCCCGAGGGCCCACAAGAAGAAGAAAGGAAAAAACATCCGGCCAGCGACCTTCCGAAACTCCGCCTTCGAAAGGCTGGGGGATAGGGAGGAAGGCCAGAGGAAGTCAGCCAAGCAAAGGCTGGGGCAGAGCGTTGCCCATGTCAACGCGTTCGCCCGGCTAGGCGAGGTGCGGGAGGCCGAGCCTGCCCGCAACCGGCGCTCCTGGTCTAACCGGCAGGAGCCAGCGAGGACGAGGGCCTCTCGTCAAGAAGAGGAAGCAGAGAGCCAGCCCAGGCTACCGGTGGCGAACCGGTTGACCATCCCAAATGACCGCGTCCAGCAGATGGAGGCAAAACTAGAGAGGCTGGAAAAGAAGGTCGGGGAGAAGAATGACCGGGACAAACCCTTGGCGGGGTCCCCATTCACCACAAGGGTCCATCTGACACCTTTCCCGCGAAAGGTCAAGATCGACGCCCCTAGGTTCACCGGGAAGGAAGATCCGGAAATCCATCTGGACTCCTTCAACCAGAGTGCGACCATGAACGGTTGCACCGATGAAGAAAAGTGCCTACTTTTCTTCCAGACCTTGCGGAACTGAGCCACTAGATGGTTCAATAAGCTTCGCCCGGGAAGCATTGATTCGTTCAGTGATTTGGCCTCGAAGTTCAAGGCCAAGTTCCAGGAAAATTGTACTAAGAGGAAGAAATTCACCTATCTCAGTACAGCCGGGCAGAGGGAGTCTGAGAACCTTACTCAGTTTCTTACCCGGTGGAAGGAGGAGGTAGACAAGGTGGAAGAGATGGATGACAAGACCGTCCTATCCCTCCTCTTGAATGGCTTGCGTGCCGGGGAACTATACAAGGAGTTCTGCCGGAAACCCCCAGCTACGTACCAAGAGGCCTACCATACTGCGTGGGAGTTTGCTGAGGCTGAAACTCAATTCCGGGCAAAGAGAGAAGCTGAACATGGTCACAAGTCCAAGCCGGTGCAAGTCAAGAAGGAAGAAGCACCGGGACCTAGCCGGCCAAGGCACCACTATGACCCGGTCATCCGAGTGGTCAATACGGAAGAATGCCAAGAAGTCCGGAAAGCACCGGTCATTCCTCCAGAAAACTCTACCGGTCAAGTAGGGCGGCAGTGGTCGAGCACCTATTGTTCGTACCACAGGTCAGATTCCCATAACACCTCCGAATGCAAGAGTGTTAAGGGGTCATCCGGCAGATGATCGACAGTGGAGAGCTGGGCAAAGATTACTTGCAGAAAGCTCAGGAGAAGAGTCATCAATGGGTTAGGCCAACTGCCCCAGGGGATGACCGGGACAACGACCGGCGGAGGAATAACCGGCCAAGGGAGCGGCAACCTGCTCCCGAAAAAGAGCACATCGGCATGATCTTCGGCGGACCCGAGGGTGGAGATTCAGCCGCGCAACGGAAGAACTGGGTCCGGATCATTTACGTTGGAGAGGTAAGTGCTGAATCTCCCAGACGTAAACATACTAGGAGGGAGCCGATCGTCTTTACTGACCGGGATCTCCCTCCTACCGGTGAAGATCACAATGATCCATTGGTCATCACCATGGACATTAATGGGGTGGATGTCGCCCGGGTACTTGTTGACACCGGCAGCAGTGTCAACATCTTATACCTGGAGACCTTCCAAAAACTCAGGTTGTGTCGAACACAACTTGAACCCCTCAAAACCCCTCTCTCAGGCTTCACGGG